AAAATACCTGTGCCAAAAGTCGAGCTATCGACTATAAAATAGCGCTGGTTGGGAGGTAACCCAAGTTTCTATCCTTTCATTTACTTCGTTTTGCAATAGTTTAGGAAATTTTCATTTTTCTTGCATTATCAATAGTTTTAGGTCATCGATCATACATCCCTATCACATAGCGTCTAGGCATGGTCCACACGAGTTCCAATGCACCGAGCACGAGTCATGAGGTTGAAGTCCTATTTTAATCAGTCATGTATCAAATTAAACAAAGTGCATGTTTTGAGCGAAGTTTCATTGGTAATTCACATTTTTGTGATATAAACCATATGTTAAAACATAAATTATGCATTCTGCACACCAACAATGTACACATTGAAGCAAGTTTGGGAGATTTGTGCACTACGATGCCGTCAAAAAGAACGTCACAGCTCCACCACCAAGAGACGGTACTGCTGGTCCTAATTTTCATTAACCACCTCCATCTTGATCAGGGGAGTACTCGTACTCCATCTTGCTCATAAGTTTATTATTGTCATTCAATTATGTCTGTTTACACTTTTATTTCATCTTCACATTGAGGACAATGTATTATCTATGTTTGGGGGTGGGTGACATAATCTTGGACACGAACATAATTTCGTCATTTTGGCTATATTCATCAATAACTATGTTTAATTGTTGCAATTCGTGTGCCTGTCGAGGATTTAAAAAAAAATAAAAAAATTCTTTGCCTTTTATTCAGTTTGTTGTATTTCCATTCTTGCATGCTTGTGTGGGCTTGATAGCCTTGCCGGCTATGATGTGACTATTGGACTGATATAATTCATAAACTTTGGATATAGTGCTGAATAGATTAACCAATACTTGTGATGCAATACTTGACATTATCTATGCACACTATTCATGCTTGACATGTTAGGTGAATGACTGGATTTTGAGCATAAAGTAGGAAAAGAATGATAACCCTTTATTGAATTAACACGTAAACCACTTTAAGACAGTTTGGAATTGGTTGAGCTATTATAGTGAACATTGAGATAAGCGGGGGCTTCGTACATGAAATTTTATTGTGCGGATTACCTAGACCAGTGAGGTGAAGATTAGGTGAAAATCTTAAATTAAGGGTTGGTTTTGGAAACTAAATGTCTAGAACAATAAGGGCATAAAATTAATTTGTGAGAATAAGACACTTCTTTTCATGCCTTTATAACCCGAGCAAGTAAGTTTGTAAGGATATTTCAAAATTTGGTGCCCTAAGGTCAACTGGCTTGGGAGTCACCGGTCTAAAGCTCGCTAAATGGGTCATATAGAAAGCAAAAGGGAAAGAGGTTAATAAAAAGTCATCTGATCGAGCCTTTATAACTCGAGTGAATAAGCCTGCAAGGGTTTAAAACCTGGTGCCCTAAAACCAATTGGTTTGGGAGTGACCGGCCTAAAGCTCGCTAAAGGGGTTATATAGAAAGCAAATGAGAAGATGATAATGATATTAAAAAAAATTCAGAAAAATTAGAGAAAAGCGAGAAAAACAAAAGAGAGGCAATAATATGAAGAAAAACCCTTGGACATTTGGTTGAAGAAACTATACCTTTAAGGCGAGGCAAGTAACCTAGTTTAATCTTGAGTGTCGAAGCAATTAAACTTAGGAGAGCCTTCACTTGTTGACATGTAAACTTGTGATAGTGAGATCAATCCAAACTACAAGAGGGTAAAGACTACAGCTATGTAAATTCCTAATTTTAAAACACAATCCGGGGATAATTGAGTGAAAAGAATAAGTTTGGGGGGTTATGTATCTCTCGAGTGAGTAATGATACATTTGACCACTTGGGGTCGGGACTCAAATTCAGCATGAACATGATATGTTGGCATGAATTCACACACACACACGTCGATTTGCATTTGACAGGTAAATGTTGATGTCATTTTTGCACTGATAAATTTTCATAAAGTCAAATACTTAGTCCAATCTTGAGCCACAGTACGGTATTAAGTCATGTTTGTTTAGAACTAAGTCACTATCTTATTTGAGGACAAACAATAGTTCAAGTTTGGGGGGTTTAATAAGTGTGTTTTTGCACACTTATTTAGATCACAAACATGACTTAATAATGAGAAAAATGATTAAATTGTGACTTAATCTCGTTATATTTGTGAATTGTAGGGAACACCGATAAACATGGTGACATTCAGAAGAAAAGAGCCGAAAAAAGACTAAAATTGGGCAAAATGATAGCTCGGGGACCAAGTTGCAAATAATCCATAGATGAGACGGGAAATGGAATGAAGATTCAAGAGTGTTAGAGGTCAATCGGATGAGGAAAGGAGTCAAGAGATGAAATATGGTCGAAGTATTATCAAGTATCAACTTTCGGGCGAAAAAGTTATGCTCGTGATTTTTAGTCTCTACTTGAGATCCATTTTTGGCATAGTAAACATCAGAATTTGAGGAAGCCTATTTCTATAAAAAAATGTATATCTTTGAGTATTCTTCTCAATGCACTTTGAATCACTTCAATCGGAGATCGAGAGAGAAAATTATGACCAAAATACTGAAAACTATTCGACGAAAAAATTTCTATAACCATGCGACCGCATGGTTATAATTCCTTGCGGTTGCACAAGGCAGTACAAGAAAAATCCGGGCTGAAACTTCTGAACCATGCGGTAGCATGGCTTTATACCATGCGGTTGCATGGTATAAAAATGTGACGAAATCTCAGGTTTCCTTATTCGACTCAAACACGATTTAGTAAGGTTTCCTTATCGTTTGAAGCTGCCCAACCATATTCGTACATCCGGCGTGTTCAATATCAAGCATTTGGTGCCATTTCGTGGTAATAATTCTGATGATGATGAAGCTCCTTTCCCGTCAAATTCGAGGGCGAATTTTTCCCACTTTTGGGAGAATTATGAAGTGCATAAAGGATTAGAGTTTATGATAAAATGGGACATTCGCAAGGTGAAATAATATTTCTTTGATATCATGATAACTTCGGGTTGGTTCATTTTTTACGAATTGCTATCTAATTCGATCAGAATCGAGCCAATGAATAAAACTCAGCGCCTTTGGCCTTGACACAAGGCCAATTTTGAGCAAAATCCATCATTTAGTCCCTCGTTTAGGCGTTTTTGCTATTTATGGTAATTTTTGTTTTTGCAATATCTCTTTCCATAAAATTCGGATTTACATTCCTTTTGTTGGAGAGTAATCCTGAAGATTAGGACTATCAATTTCCGTCATTATCTTGATTTATTCCATTTTTGGAAAAAAAAAATTCTTATTAATATTTAATTTCCGAATTTTATAGGTTTTTGTTATAAATACGTTGTAAGCCTCTTGAGACCGCAGATTGATTCGAATGAAATAAAATTTTTCGTGAGTTTTCTTCTTTGTGAGATTTGTTCATCTTCCCTATAACTTCCGCTACGTCAGATCTGCTAATAACGAAGTCTCACACGGTTGTGAAATTAAAGGATGAAATCTTTGTTAACAGATGTGCTCACCAAACAAGATCACCAACGATTAAAAAGACGATTTCTATCACGTGAAGACCATAGGGTTGACAAAGTTGAATACTTGAATGTCACAAATAGTAGGTTAGGAACCTAAATATTACAATCACTAAGGTTGGAGACTCCAAGTGGATTTTATATTTGGGAAAATTGTAGGAGCGTTCTCTAATATTTTCAATTTTTGTAAATTTTATTTTAACTTTCAATTTGTGTCAACGAAGGTTTTAACATTTCATAAATATGCAACAGGGATCCAACTTGAAGGAAACCATCTATTCAATCGTTAGTTGTTGACCAAATTTTGACCAATTTTAAAAGGTTAAAATAATAAATTTATATTTTTATAATAAACAATTAAAATGAAATAATTAAATAACAAAATAAAAAACTGAAAAATGAAAACTAAAATCAAAAGTCATCTTTCCCACCCCACCCCAAAATCAGATCCACGACAACGATGGCTTCGTCACTCGTCGATCATAGCCACCTCCATCTACAAGACGCCGCACCCAGTCCAATGCTACCACTTATCCCTTTCTCACCACTACTAATGTCACTTTCAATAAGAACTTAACGACAAGAAATCCATTACCTAGGTTCCCAAGAAAAATTCAAAACCTTCATTCGAGAAATCAAACCCAAAACCTTTAACCTTCGAATTTGAAATCACCTTTCACTTGGTGATGACCATCACCCAAGAAAAATTGCTAGTTAGCCAACCGGACATCGTTGATCAATAAATTTGTTATGCAGGTGGTGGTGACATAAGTTAACAACGCGACAGTGATATGGGTTGGGAAATTTGGGCCAACAGTCAAAAATTGGTGGTGATGGAGGAGAATTTGATTGAGGAGGTGCATGTTAGCAAGACAGCTGAGGAAATAGTCCCGAAGAAATAGGAGGAAAAAATTGGTGACTATTTTTTATGCTAATGTGGGATGAATAAAGGAGATGAGAAAGGGCAAGCATTGTTAAGGAGCAACCGGTGGAGGAAGATAGTGGTAGTTTGGTGACATAAGCGACAACTGCGACGATTTTGGAGTATTGGTTTCTTTTTTCTTTTTTCTTTTTTTGAATCAAAGGAAAATTTTTGTATGGACAGAAATACTCTTACTTAAAATAGTCAAAATACCTCTTTTTTGTATTTTCCAGGTCAACTAACGATTTTATAGATGGTTTTCGTCAAGTTGGACTTTAATTACTTATTTATGAAAGGTTAGAAACCTTTGTTGATATAAATTGAAAGTTAGGATAAAGTTTGCAAATTTGAAAAGGTTAAGGAATGTTGCTCTCTTTATATTAAGTAATGATATGATACTATTAAAGTCCTGTTTGAGCGAAAAAATGCATTATTAAACGTTCAATAAATTAATATTAAATGTAAATTCAAAATTTTTTATTATTTTTTAACTGTACATTCTCGATTAATTTACTATTTCAAAATAACGAAACACAAAAAAATAGTTTAAAAATGGAGTAACCCAACAATTTTAAGCCCAAAACTGGAGCCCACTTTCACCCAACCTAACGCACCCAGTCCAGTATAGCATCGTGCGCCGCTGAAGACAGACGGAGAGATGTCGGAGAAAGAGAAAGATGTCGTGGTGACAGAGAAAGTGGTATCGGAAGCCGATGAACTGCCAAAGACTATCGTGCGCCGGGTAGTGAAGGATAAGCTATCACAGCTCTCTAAGGATTCCGATGTCAACGTTCTCCGCGAGTCTCTTCAGGGCTTCTGCGAAAGCGCACGAATTTTTATCCATTTCCTCTCCGCTACGTAAGCAAACTTATAATCATTTCCATTACATATTTTTTGATTTTTGACGAGTAATTATTTTGTTTTTGTTTTTTTAATAAATTTTAGTGGGATTAACTAGAGCTATAGAATGCTTGGAATTTATTAATTTTCGGATTTAGTTTCTGGAATTTATTTTTCGTCTGTAATAGTTTTCCTATTATGGCATGTTTGGATAAGCTTAAAATACTTTAAAGGGGCAATCTTGTTGTCAATAGCATGTTTGGTCTGGCTTAAATGCTAAAAAGGAAGCCGCTTGATTCTTCATACGGGCTACTGCCATGCCGGAAAAGGCCAAAATGAAGCATTCAAACAAGGTTGAACATGAAAAATGTAAAAAGTTTTACATTTTGAGTAAATTTACTTTTAAGGAAAAAAGTATGATAATTTTTCTATTGGTGAAAGTTACTCATTCTGAAGGTAAGATCTTCTATACCTTCCTGCATTTGGTATTTGGAGGTCTAATTAATTCCTTCACATAAGAGAAAATATTTTAAAAAATGTATTCAATTATTTTCTTGAACTGGTTTAATAATATTGGAATATAACAGTTCGATTAATGGTGTTTATTCGTGACTTATTTTAGAGCCAGTGATGTATGTAAGGAGTCAAAGAGGCAAATAATCAACGCAGAAGATGTATTCAAGGCACTGGAGGAGATTGAATTTGCGGAGTTTGTCGCCCCGCTGAGAACTTCTCTTGAAGGTCATTATTTTTTTATATTAAATTTTTTGATTATTCATTTGATGTTTCTAATGACATGCTTGTTGCCACGCTACTCGGGTTAGAGCTTAAGTTAGTGTTAATCACATATTTATGATCAACATATTTCTCTCACCTAACCAAGACTTTCTCCTCCTATTCTCTCTTTACCTGATGCTCAGTAAGGAGTGAGAGGATAAAAGGCTATTTGAGAGGGAGATATTCGAATTTGTATACTTCTCTTCTTCTAGGTGGGACCTATTTATAGATTTCTTTTTAGGGTTTTGGGGGCAATTAGGTCTTTTTGGTAAAAGACAAGTGGCAGATTGGTGAATTTCTAACTAATTCTGTTACGTGTTCACACTTATTCACCAACTTACGCGCTCTTCATTCATTAGTTTTGAAATCATGTTTTAAACGTTTAGTCACATGTGCCCTAGTGACGGTTTCTACCAACATGGAATATTATGGGAATAGTTCCCCATCCTTGGCTGTGAGCTCTTTATCATAAATATTCATTTTCATCTTCCTAGGCTCGCGTAAAGGGACATGAGTTCGCCTGATTATTCTTTCTCATTTATTTGCTCAACTGTTAGTGATGCTTTTGGCTATTGGATATTGGCTGTCTAGATTATAGCAACCGTGCTACTTTGTCACTTGCAGCAGATATCATCTAACTTTTGCTGTTCAAGTAATTTCACTACAAACGAGCTTTGGAGCAGCCTCACCATACCCTTCAACCATACTTGAGTTTTCTTTTTTGACGAATAAAAACATAAGGTTTAGGTAAATCACTGACCAAATGAGACGGTTCCGAGGAACCTTGAGTCATTTGGGTGAAAGCTTCTTTTTCCAATTCGCATACTGGAGATGGACAACCATCACTTACTGCCAGTGAATAGCTGACCTAAATTTGTAGCGATCGAGACTAACCCTGAGCTACCTGGAATTATTGTTACCGGTTGTCATAGATAGTTGGCAATAGATTGTTGCGTCTGTTGGTAGACTTTTTTTTTTTTTCCAAAATTCTTCCTTTCTTGTCTGAAAGGATCCTTCAACATAAGTTTAACCTGAGTTCAAATATTCAGATCTTGAATGTAAATTTGCAAGATGAGTGCAATTTTTATTTCTTTATTATTTCTTCCTTTATTATTATTTTTTTAATTATGTCCTTTTTACTTTTATTAACTTTATTTGATTATAGAATTTAGGCGCAAGAATGCTAAAAGGAAGTCGGAGTCATTGAAGGCAAAGGAGATGAACAAAAAAGGTAAAATGAAAGAGCCACCTGTAACAAATGGAGGTGGAAGTGAAGAAGAAGATGAAGATGAAAGCAGTGAAGAATAGGTCGACTGTAACACACCAAGCGTTGGGCAAAATGTCCGTTGTAGTTCCACAGATGCTCTAGTTAGGTGATAAAGATGTAAGCATATATTGACAAAATATGTTGGCTTATCGTCCTTTTTATGAATAGTCTTACCCGTGTCGGTTTACCTCTATATAGTCGACTTGGATGTACCTGTAACTATCTTGTGGCTGTCTGATTAATGCTGTAATTCCTTATCCTAAAATGGTGTTTTTGTGCTGAGATTTCATCCATAAATTGCAAGTTAAGTTTTATGCTTACACTGGAGAGAGATTGTTTGTACTGTCATTGTAGATTTATACTTGCTACAAGCTCGAGTAGTCGCTGATATTTTGGCCGAAGAACTGGTAAAACCATGAAACAAGTCGACGTTTTGGAAAATGTAACATAACGTATTAAGTGCATATGTAGATGGTTTAATACAACAAAATGCAAAAAACTGAGTTATGTTTAATGTAAAATTTTGTTAGATTTTGAAGTGCATAAGTAGATTGTTTGGCTTTGCTTATAAGTTAGAATGACGAAAATTAATCGGATACAATGCTGAGGTTAATAAGAGAGCAGAATATGTCGGTAAAATAGCAAGGAAAGAAGAAATTGGACCAACAAGAAATGTTTCTAATTTACAAGGTCAGATTGCATTGTAGCCAACAAAACAACTAAAAGAAAGAACAAAAACATATAAGCTCACAAGGAGCTATGCACCATTATTGAGGTGCTTCTTCCCTTGTTGAAGCTACGACCACTTCCATTGCCAATCCTTTCCGATGTTTATTTGGTAGTACTCAATGTTCTTTAGCACTTTCATGGCCCTAGTGGACGTTATAAAGACTTCTTGACTTTAATACTATATAGTGCTATACAATCTTGCTACTGAACAGACACTATATGTTCCGCTGCATTCCAGGCTTTGCCAGTGGAATACCCCCTTTTATAGCTGATCTTTGACAAGGGATAATGAATCCACTTGCAGTTCGGAAATTGAAAGGCATTAAACTCACGGCTCTAAATCTTTGCCTGGCGCGTTCCCACCACTATCAGTGTTGGGTAACCAGCAAACAATTCCTCACTTCACACCTGAACCTTAACCGGCTTGGAAGACTAATGGATTGAAATATGAAAGAAGCTGATATTGAAGTGTTTGATAGCACCTAAGATGCATTCCATGCTCGACTTAGGTTCAAGTTGCTAGATCTGATAAACACAGCCATTTCACAGGATCAATCGATGCATTCTTGTTTCTTGATCTAATTTGTATCTTCTTTATCAAATATTCCTCCAAGCAAGCACCAACCTTAACCATTCTGGTGTCAGGCTTTATTTCCACCACCAATACCTCTTTTAGGGTATCCCTTATTATCTCTGTGTCATTTACAGCACAAATTCTTGGTATAATTTCAGCCCAAGAATCAATGTGTTGATTTTTACCACGCCTCGACATCTTATGTAAAACTTCACAAGCATCCTCAATTTCACCCAAAAAACCTTTGATAAGTAGTTGATCAACAGAAAAATGTAGTCATCATGACCTTGATACAACTTTTTGCCTCATGGTACATGACCCGACTGCACAACCCCTGACTAGAGTCCAATATGATTTGAAATTTGCCAAGCACTCATTTGAGGCCATATTGCCAAAGATGAATGATATCAGGATTGCGTCCCTTTACTTTCATCCTACAAAGAAGCTTGTAAACCTACATTAGCTTATTTTCCAGGCACAAGCTATTCAACAGAGTGGTATAGCTTAGTGAGTCTGGAACAAATCCTTTATTCAACATATCCTCCAAAAGACAAGCCTGCATTAGAATTCTATATGATTTCACATCAGGCACAACATCCCTCTTAAACATTTGATTAAACAATGTCTACGATATGCTTAAATCACCATTTGAGGGCAGTAGTGTAGAGAATATTCTTATATACAAGCTTGCATCGAGATTTTGTTTCAAGTCCGTATCCCTTTAGTTATTGGTTTAGTAGACAAGAGTAGAACTAGGAGAGTGTTAAATTGTATGTTCGAACTTTGGATTACTTAGAAATCTAAAGGTTTCGTTTTAGTAAAAATAAAACGAATACATGGAATATCTTGTTAGTAATGCATAGGACTAGAGTTGGTTGGACGAAATGGAGAAGTATTACATGAATTCTATGTGATAGGAAGGATCTTGTAAGGTTAAAATGTTATTTCTCCCTTCCAATTATTGGATTTGCTATGCTTTATGACATTAAGTTTTAGGTTGTTAATGGACAATATGTCCTTAAAATATAAACGAAAATTAGTAAGTTAAGATGCATGTGTGGTTATACTAGAATAGATAAAATAAGCGACGAGAATATATGTCATAAACAAAAGTGGAGTGCATGATCGTGGGACATCTAAAGTCGGAAATTTATTGTTGGTTTTTATTGCTCACCCTCATATAGGTGAACTTGGTTGGCATAGATCAAGGAATTAAACTTATGGCAGCTTTGGTTGTTGGGGGCATGTATTGCGTAAATCTACAGAAGTGAATTTTCGTAAGTGCAAGGTTCAAAAAGGTGCAAGGCATGGTAAGACGGCATTGTCAAGCTTTAAGCCTTATGAGTTTAGGCGTGCCTAGGTGAAACCTAGTCGTAATAAGGAATTTCCCTATTTTTAATATTATTTCAGTTATTCTAAAACCGTTAATAATTATTCCTTTATTTAATTTTTTATTTAACCTTTAAAAATGGTGTGGGTAGGGATGTCAATTGGGCCGAGCCGACTCGTGGAAAAGAGGCTCGTGGGTGGCTCGGGCTCGTGAAATCACGAGCCCGAGCACGAGCCGAGCGGGCCTCGCCCGGAGGCGAGCTCGTAAAATGTCCGCTCGTGGCTCGTTGAGCCTGTGACCAAAACGGTCACAAAATTGACCGTTCTGGTCACTTTTCAGTGACCGTTCTGGTCACTGAATTTTATTCAGCGACCAGAACGGTCGCTGAACTCCCCCCCTCCCCTTTTTTACTATAAATACCCCCTTCCCTCAAAGATTTTTTTTCATATCAATTGCTCTTCCAAGATTACAACTCTCTAAACTCTCTTTTATTATATCAATTATCGAATTTTTACTCTCTTGTGCTGCAAAATATACAATATTAATTCAATTTTTACAGTTTATTAGTTACAATTTCAATTCATCCAATTCTTAATTCTCACAATCTCACTACATTTATATTCATCTAGTCAAGATTTCATCATAAACAATCACAGAAATGGATCAACGTTCATTTGTTGAGAGTTTGTTCGATATAGGATGTGAGTCATTGCCACATCATGGAGAATCGCCTAGGACGCCGCAAAGTCAATTTCCAAATGAATTTGCCGGTCTAAATGACATACCGATACCTGAAAATGTTCACATTCACGGTCAAGGAAGCCACACTCCAATTGATTTGGATGATATTAACGTTCCCGAAACGGAACATGAAGATGAAGATCAGCAATTAAATATCCCAGATGCAAGGGGAAAGCGAAAGGCCAAAAAACAAGCAAAATGTTGGGATCATTTTAAGTTGATTTCAATGGGAAAAGTCGTTGATGGCCTTGCAGAATCTAAAGTAGTATGTAAATACTGCCAACGAAGATTGGCATGGCAAAAAGGAATTGGTACCACTCATCTCAACCGCCATTACAAATCATGTGCAACCAGACATGGACTTCTTCCAGCTGGTCAAACACAATTACAATTTGGCAGTCCAAGCGCCGGTTCTACAACTTCACCCGGAAGACGAGACTCGAACCGGAATGGTGAAATTTGTTGCCGCCACTGAGTTGCCTCTGGCTATTACAGACAACCAACACTTCGTCTCGTTCATGAAAGAATATCTACAACCGAGGTACGTTGGGGTAAGTCGAAACATTCTTCGTGCCGATACAATAAATTATTTCAATAATTCAAAATAACAATTAATTATGGATTTGCAATAATATAGGGGTATTATATCCTTAACTTCTGATATATGGGAAGAGGTTAATAAAATAGCATATATAACTGCAACCGCACACTATATAGACTCACTTTGGTGCATGCATAAGAAAATTATTGCTTTTAGAATTATTGAATTTCCTCACAATGCTAATAATATATATAATGCTATTATCAGTATTGTTAAAGAATATCATTGTGAGAGTAAAATTCGATCTTTTACTTTTGATAATGCTAGTGTTAATAAGGTAGTCGTTGATAAATTGTGTAGGACACTTCAACCTGATTTTGGTGGGTATTTGTTTCATATTCGTTGTGTGTGTCATATCTTGAATTTAATTGTGCAAGATGGTTTAAAACATATAAAAGATGAACTTCAAAGGATTAGGAATGCATTAGTATATATTACGATCTCTCCTAGTAGAAAACAAGTATTTGAAGATTTTTGTGCCGAACTAGGGACGATGACTGCTAAAACATTTGTTAGCGACGTAGGTCATAGATGGTTGTTAGCGACGTAGGTCATAGATGGAACTCTACATACTTGCTATTAAAATCATGTGAAGGTTTCGAAAATTTAATAACTGACTTTTATAATAATAGACATGTTAGAAGTGATGATGATGGTATGTTAAATGAATCCGATTGGATTTTAACTTTGCAAGTTAAACGATTTTTGACATCTTTTTATGAGACCACAAAGATTTTATCCGGTGTTTATTATCCCACAAACTGTATGGTGCTTGAACGCCTTTATATAATTGCAAGAACATTCCATAAATATAAAAATGATCATGTTTTTAGTGAAATTTTAATTGCTATGGAATTAAAGTTTAGAAAATATTGTGGAGAATTTCCTATGTTATTTCCTTTAGCATGCACAATGAATTCCCGATATAATATTTCGGGAACTAAATACGTAATTGATCAAATCAATAAAACTTTAATACTTGATACACCTATCACCTATAAGAATTTAGAGCAAACATTATATGGAATGTATGATTTATATGCGGAAAGAATGGGTGCAAATATTAGTCGGGTACTCTCTGCTGCACCTACTCCTTCTGTTGAAATTGAAAAAGATGCTGCGAAAATAATGAATTTATTTCAGGGCATTAATACATTTAGATATGATGCAACTGCAATGTGTTCATCTAGTGCCATGTTGTCTACATCTGCATCTCATCAAACATCGGCCGAAACTCAAAATGCGATGTCTGCCGAATTAATTGATTATTTCAATCATAATATGCCAACAGACAGAACAATTAAAAA